GAGAGTATTCCATAGGGCGGGGGCCATGGCAGAGAAGGCTCTCCTTCTGCACCCCGCCAGTTGACATTCTTCCATCAACGGGGTCTGCAGCATGCCCTCTCTGTTTGACTGGGTGGGACAGGTCGATAGAATGGGGGTGAGATGATCCATTAAGCATAATGAGAAATGAATTTTGTCTTTCTATCCAAAATTTACATTATTTAGTCTAGCGTGTAATATTTTAGTTTTTCATGAAGCAACACTTTCTATGGAGTAATTGGGTAATCCCTCTTTTCCCCAAACTGTTTTTTGAATTTACTCATATGTGGATAGTCTAGTTAAATTTTGTCCCATTTGTTTCCTGAACCTAGGATGTTTTTGAACAGCTTTCAAGATCTCTGGCTCCTAGCATCCATGGGCATGAGTACATCAAGAAGGCAATTCTATGTATGCTCTTGGGAGGAGTGGAAAAGGTGTTGGAGAATGGAAGCCGACTCAGAGGGGACATTAATATCCTACTAATTGGTATGTCATGGAGGCTTTGTATTTCAAACGTTCAAGAAATGCTGCTCATATCCTGTAACAGGACAGTATAGCTGGCAATTTGGGTTTGATAAACAGCCTGTATCTCTTTTGTTTTCAGGTGACCCTTCTGTTGCAAAGTCTCAGTTGCTACGTTATGTGTTATGTACAGCTCCTCGGGCCATTCCCACTACTGGCAGGGGTTCTTCAGGAGTAGGTTTGACTGCTGCTGTCACAACAGATCAGGAAACTGGTGAGAACTTAGAAGCAAATGACATGCAAAGGGAACTGTCATTACAGTCTGGGAAAAAGCAGCTGACAGCGTCTCTCTGCAGCCAAGAGGATTGATTGATTGATTCAATTTATTCCCATCTCTTTATGTCTGTTCTGGAAACTTGCATGGCAGTAAACGAAGAGCTTGAGGTGTAAATGAGACAATGGCCTAGTAGTGCAGTACTGTGCTAAGGAACTAAGTCTCTAGGTAGGGTGCACTGGACTATGTTCACAGTATTAGCAGCGGGCAGGCAAGACACTTCCCTCTTATTCATCTTTTGGACTGCTGCTGGTATGGTGATTAGAATATTATTTAGCATAACAGAGTGGGTGAATATTCAAATCCATAATTACGTATACCGTATATTATAGACGAAATATCTCAAAAGCCTGTCACACCTGGCTGACTTTGTCTGGGTTGAAAGCTAAGTAGGGTCAGTCCTAGTTAGGATTTGGATGGGAAATTACCAGGAACTCCAGGGCTTTAGTTCAGACTGGAAAATAAAACTCACCTTAGGAGGCAATATCTCCTCTATTTTGTTGCCAAGAAAAAAACAGCACCATGACCAGGGATTGACACTTTTTTTAGCCACCTAACTCCAATTGTGTGATAGTCCAGGACCTTCGTGTAACACCTGAAATTTTGCTAGAATTGGTTAATCTCATGTTAAGATCTTGAAAGCAATGACATCTTTAAAAAAATGATCTTTTTTTAAAAAAAAGTCATTTCACTTTGGAAGGACTGTGGGTGCTGTTCTGAGGAGTGATTGATATCTAGGCACGCACAGGGAGTGTTTTGCCAATTTTTGGGTTAGATTATCTTGGCTTTTCTGTAGGAGATGGAATAATGCTACTACTTTTAGAGAATGGAGCAGTAGTAGAAACAGAGTGCTTAAAGTAGTTCCAACCCCTGACTTAGAAATGCATGAGTGCATTTCGTTCAACCGATATATACTTTCTCTCCCTCTCCTTGCTTTCCCATCCTCAGGAGAACGTTGTCTGGAAGCCGGTGCCATGGTCTTGGCTGACCGTGGAGTAGTGTGCATTGATGAATTTGACAAGATGTCTGACATTGATCGTACTGCTATCCATGAAGTGATGGAGCAAGGCCGTGTTACTATTGCCAAAGCAGGCATTCAGGCCCAGCTCAATGCCCGTTGCAGTGTTCTAGCAGCGGCCAACCCAGTCTATGGAAGGGTAAGCATGGAAGGGGCCTTGCTCAGATAAGCCAGATGGCAACATAGGGAGCAAGACAAACTTTCTGCTTCTACTTTTACATTGTGTTTTTAGTTGGTGTTGTAATAGTTTAGTTGCCCACCTTATGGCCCACAGTTCTTCAGTTGAGGACATTTTTATGCAAGAATAATTTTTTCAACAGATCATGTATCTCCATCCCTGCTCTTGTGGAACACAGTAATACTTCACTGAATTCTCCAGTCAGAGTTAGTCTAAATGTTACTGTTTCGCTGCACCTGGAACTGGAAATTTAGTTCAGATCTATGATGATTGAAATCCTACTGGAATATTGTCTGCCCTTTTTTTAATGCTGTTTTTCATTTTGTTTGTTTGTTTTTGCTTACTACATACTGCATTGTTGCTGAATGGTTATTTTCTATTCTCAACTCTACAAATCACATAGTTTGATAAGTAAATTAGTCTGTGTAATATAACAAAGCCTATTCAAGCTTACATTAAAAACCCAACTGAAAAAAGGTAAACTACACAGCTTTCAAAAATCATTTCCTGCGTAGTATGTAGGAGCAGACAAAGGAAATGTAATAAACATGAATTATGTGTCTGTTTTGCAAAAGAACAAGCTTTGATTGACCTTCCTCTACGTCTTCTGTGCTCAAAACAATTGTATGATATTGAAGCAGTACAAGATCTGACTTTTTCTCTTTCTGTCTGTTTGTAGAGATAATGTTGAATCTCCTTAACATTCCACCAGTACTGTTTCTCCTGTTTAGAGATAAAAGCTGCTAACTCACTAACCTTTCCATGCATTTTTGCAGTATGACCAATACAAAACTCCCATGGAGAATATTGGCCTCCAGGATTCTTTGCTGTCCCGATTTGATTTACTCTTCATTGTTTTGGATCAAATGGATCCAGAACAAGATCGAGAAATCTCAGACCATGTTTTGCGAATGCATCGTTACAGAGCAGCTGGTGAACAGGATGGAGATGGTGAGTCTCTTGTCCCTATATCCTTCCTTGAAATCTGTCAACTGCATCAAACGTATTCTCTATGATGATTCATAATTTTTTTCTTTTCTGTTCGTAGTTATTTAAAAAGTGGGAGAGTTCAGTTTATTCTGTATGTTGCAATGGACAGTGTATTCTTTCATGTACTGATTAAATTGATGTATTCTAGACAACCCTCTAAGGAATTTTTCCCTTCTTTTTCTAGCCATGCCTTTAGGCAGTACAGTTGAATTACTGGCAACTGAGGACCCTTCCCTTACCGAGCAGGAGGATCAGGAGCTGCAAGTGTATGAAAGACACGATGACCTACTGCATGGACCTAAGAGGCGGAAGTAAGTATTTCTTCTTGTCGCTATCTTGTAAAATAGAGCATGCACGTGAAGAATAGAGATGGTGAATTCAGGAATTGCTTTATAGTTACATCCTGTAATTCCACTCTCAGGGTAATAAGACTGGTATCCAAGGAGCCTAATTCCAGCAGCCCCATTCTCTTAGACCAAGGAACTGTCAACCTGTGGGTTTCAAATCTGTCTTTAGCTCTGCTTCTCAGTATCTGCCCTCAGCATGCTGTTTCAGTTTAATTGCAAATCAATGATTCCTAGCCAAGAATCCCCAAATGTGGTAATTAAACTCCTATTATCCTCTAATTAGTGGAAGCTTATGGATTTTGTTTGATCAAACTCAGAGAGAAGATCGTAAGCATGGAGTTCATGAGGAAGTATATTCATTTTGCCAAGATGCTGAAGCCAGTCTTGACTGAGGAAGCAGCAGCCCTCATAGCCCAGGAATATTCTTCTCTTCGCAGTCAGGATCAGATCAGCTCTGACCATGCCAGGGTGAGTCTGTTTTTCCCTAGTGGAAGGGACAGCTGGAGAACTGTGAGGTGAGAAGGAGGCCTGGACTGGGTTAATGTTGTGCTGGACCTGTGAAGTTGATAGAAGCATACAAGTTTAATAAATTATTATTAATTATTATTATTATTGATAAAATTGGATGTTGTGTTAGCATTTATTGTTACAATATGATGGCTGGATTTCTGCTGAACTACAAAGGTTAGTGAATGGGAATCGGAACATTTTTTTCAATTTAATTTGCGAAGCTACTGAGATATGTTCTTCTTTAATGCCATGGAAGAAGAGGTGGCATCTCAGGAATTATTAAATATCTGCAACAATTTATTCAAGCATTACCTTGACTATGACAGCTGTTTACACATGTAAGGTTACTGCTTTGAGAATTGTAATTCTGTCTGGAAATTTTTTAGCTTTTTGCTCCCTGGCAAATGCCTAATTAAATTTTGAGAAGAAATCCCCTTCCATGTGGAAAAAGGGAAGCAAAAATGCTGCAGATTTCATGATCCATACACTGCAAAGGCCTATAAAATAGATCATCTAGCATGGTGTTGAGTGCTAGGCCAGGATTTTTAGGCCATGCTCCCCATGTTTATGTCTCCTTGAATTCCCATCTAATCTAATACCTGTAAGAATGGTGGAGTTTGTAGTCCATGAACAGAATCCAGTCCTAACAGACAGTTGTACTGCACCAAACATGCTTGGATCTATAAAAGTGGACAAGGTTTTGAATATTTATCATCTTCTGCTTATCCCTTGAAAGTGTTAAGACTTTACCTGCTCTTTTCAGACCTCCCCTATCACAGCCCGAACTCTAGAGACATTGATCCGGCTTTCAACTGCACATGCTAAAGCCAGGATGAGTAAAATAATTGAGAAGCAGGATGCCAAAGCAGCTGTAGAGCTGGTGCAATTTGCTTACTTCAAAAAGGTGAGTAGACAAGAGTTGTAAGAAAAAATTAAAGTTAGACACTTAGTAGCAGTTGGATTGCATCTTTGAATGTACTAGTGTCATTCAGTATTCAGCCGATATTACTGAAGTACTCAAATGATTTGATAAGCCAGCTTGGTGCAGTAGTTTAAGGTACCAGGCTAGAAATCAGAGGATCATGAGTTCTTCTCTCGGCTTACACCTGAAGTTAGCTGGGGACCTTTGGGCCAGTCACTCTCTTTCTGGCCCAGGAAGAAGGCAGTGACTAACCATTTCCGAAAATGTTCCCAAGAAAACTGCAAGGACTTGTCCAGGAAGTTGTCAGAAGTCAAAATTGCCTTGGAAGTACACACACAGACACAAAAATATACTGCATGGAAACTACCAGTTTCTTTCCTCTCCCCAAATTTCTGATATCTTTACTTGTCATGTATGATACCTCAACATACGTTGGAGATCAGTAGATAAAGTTTTTGAAGCAAAAGGATATGAGCAGAAGAGATGGCATGAGCTGTCCCACTCAAGCATGTACAGGAATCTGCCCTTCTTTATTTGGGTGCCAATGTAGGTCACTGGTTTCATTCTTAGTCACTGCTAGCAGCTAAGAGTTGTAGAGACTGTAGAAGCTACATTCATAATGAATGACTAATTACTTCTCTGTTGTATGTCTGGAGTGCTTATGAAAGAGATGGAGGTTGTACTGTAGGAGAAAATCACTTAGTACACTATTCTATCCTGGTGCTTAGCTTGGCTTAGGGAATTACGTGGAATTACAGTATAATAATTCTCCCTTTGTGGACGAGCATGTGTATCAGTCTGGAAGCACTTTAGGTATCCTCTGCCTTGGTGCCATTAAAGCAGCCTTGTGACAGGACTACTCAGTGTGTGAATGGTCATCTGGTTTTGATCCAAACTTGGAATTCAGGCTTCATCAGCAACATTGTGACCCTTGCTGAGGAAATTGTGATATTTTCCAGCAGTTGTTTGCTTGAGACTTTTCTTTTAGCATTAATCCTATCATGGGCGATGCTATGTTTTTATGGCAGTTATTTCTGTTGAAACTAAAATATTGGGTGGTTTTATTTCTTTGGAGGCTGAAATTAGTGTTTAAAGCTATCAGGAATTCCCATCCCTGGGGGAAGTAGCATTCAGCTCTTGGCTTCTTCTGTGGAACTCAGACTGTCCTTGGCTTCTGAGCAACAGCTGATTGGCCCAGTTATGGATTCTTTGGTTTCTCTACTTTCAAAGGTTCTGGAAAAAGAAAAGAAGCGGAAAAAGGCTGAAGATGACCCAGAGGAAGAAACAGATGGTGAAATGTCCCAAGAAAGCGAAAAAAGACAGAAAAAGAGGTAGATAAGAAAAGTGGTATAAAGGGAACTTTAAAAAGATTTTAAAATAAAGCCTTGGTGGCAGAGAAGGCAAGCACACTGTTAGGGTTATATGTGGAATTGAATACTTGGCCTTTTTCATCTGCCTGTTGTTACACACGCTGCTCCCAGGTTCGGCTTATGATCACTCACTCACATACTCACAGCCTGTTGAGACACACGGATCTTGTCAGCCCCCCTTGCTTTCTACCTGGGTTTTCTAGATAGGTGCAGCTGGATCAGACAGACAGACAGCCCTGGTCAACAGCTGGGAAATAATTAGGGATACACACAAATCACTTCCAACCGAACACTGAGGCACAAGAGGTT